AAACACAGGGCGAAACTGCAGAGAATTTAATTCGCAAGCACTATATTTGACCCTTTAACTCTCCAAGACACCATAAAACCTGTACATAGGGGGTACTGTTTTACTCGGGAGACTTTGCTGAACTCAAATATTAGTGTTTCAAAATGATAACTTTTATAACAATGATGATATTTTAAGTAAAATTTATGTTTTTTGCATTTTTTACAAACGGACGGCACTTTTATGGACTATATTATTGTTGTAATATGTTTTACTGTTTTAAAACACTAATATTTGTGTTTAGTGAAGTCTCCCGACAATAACAGTACCCCCATGTACAGGTTTTATGGTGTTTTGGAAAGTTAGAGAGTCACATATAAGGCTTGCATTTCATTTTTTTGACATTGAAATTTGCCAGATTGGTTATGTTGCCTTTGAGAGCGTATGGTAGCCCAGGAATGAGAATTACCCACATTATGGCATACCAATTGCAAAGGTAGACAACCCAAGGTATTTCAAGAGGTATGTCCAGTCTTTCTTAGTAGCCACTGGCCAAATATTAGTTTTTTGCTTTTTTCACACAAAAACAAATATGCACGCTAACTTTGGCCAGTGTTTGTAACTAAGTGGCTACTAAAAAATACTAAACATACCCCACTTTCAATACCTTGGCTTGTCTACTTTTTCAAATGGTATGCCATTATGGGGGTAATTCTCATTCCTGGGCTACCACACCGTCTCAAAGGTGACATTACTAATCTGGCAAATTTCAATTTGAAAATGGAACTATATTTGACCCTGTAACTTTCCAAAACACCATAAAACCTGTTAATGGGGGGTACTGTTGTACTCATGAGACATCGCTGATTACAAATATGTGCATTTTTTTGCAGTAAAACCTAACAGTATTATGACATTAACACCTAAAATGTCAGATGGAAATACAAATTTTAAAAAAACAAATCTTATCTTCTCACATTTTTTTAAATTTTATTCATAATAAATTATGTTCCATATATGAATAGTTAATGATAAAATAAAGCCCTGTTTCTCCTGAACAAAATGATATATAATAAGTGTGGGTGCACTTAATGTGACAGCGGTGAATTATGGTTGAACAGACATATAGCGCAAATTCCAGTTTTTGTTTACGTTTTGTTTTGATGAGAATGTGTACTATTGACTCTGTCCTGAAGGGGTTAATGTCAGACAACTACATAAAAACAAAATCACCCTACAAGCTTGTGTAATAAAAATATGAGCATAAAATCACATATGTGTAAAAAAGAATTCAGCAGCTCATGGAATGATCGATCACAATGCAACACAGAAGTATACAGTGTGTCTGATATTTATTGTAAGCTGAGTAGTTTGTTTTTACAATGCTACTTTTATAGTAGTTGAGGTTTTTATCTTATCCTTGTACAATTGACTTCAATGATTAAATTCAGTTATATGTTATGAGTAAAGATTTTATTTAATATTTGTATACTATTTCTCTATTTATTTTTTTGATTGAACACTTAAACAATTATCAGTATGGTTCCATTAAATAACCATGAATATAAACCATTAAACAATTTCAATTAACATGGTCTATAGGTAACATTTTGATGTGTATTCTAAGTGTATACATTACTATAAATAGACAAAACCACAATACATGTGTTTCTGGCATTAAGGTTGTGTTTGTAGAATTTCTGACAACTCTTCTTGCACATTAAATCTTCAGGACATTTAGATTTTTTTCCATTAACATTTTTCATCGAGTAAATATTGCCACTGTTCACAATGAAACTTAAATGATGAAACACCTCAGATATGCTACTGCACAAATTGATGCCAACCTGTATGTATGTACCTGTTGTATTAATGGGAAATAATACAGTAGGCATTCAAGATGCGGTGAAATAGTATACAATAAATGTAAAATTTTATATTGAATACAGAGGTGTCATTTTTATAAAAAATAAATATTTAAAAGGTGCACTTTCACCATTTCCGTTTTGTGTGGCATATTTTATTTGGTGTCAACTAAATAAAATATTAGTGTTTTTTTCTCTGGTTCTGCCTCTTCCCCTCAATCCCTCTCTGTTGCTGTCCCCCAAGGTTCAGTCCTTCGTCCCCTACTGTACTTGATCCATACTGCCTCCCTTGGTAAACTCATCAGCTCCTTTGGCTTCCAATATCACTTCTATACGGATGACACACAAATCTATATGTCCTCCCCTGATCTCTCCCCACCCCTCTTGACTAGTGTCTCTGACTGCCTCTCTGTTATTTCTAACTGGATGACTGCCCACTTCCTTAAGCTCAACTTGTCCAAAACAGAACTTCTGGTCTTTTCTTCCTCAAGTGTTGCAACTCCCGTTTCTGTCTCTCTCCACGTTATTGGTGCTGCCACCAGCTCCACCATGCAAGCTCGCTGCCTAGGAGTTCTCTTTGACTCCTTCGTTCTTTATGTCCAGTCATCGCCAAATCCTGCTGCTTCCATCGCAAAAACATTGTGCACATCCGCCCCTACGTAACACTGGATGCGGCTAAGATGCTGGTCCATGCCACTGTCCTCTCTCACCTTGATTACTGCAATCCACTTCTCAGTCTTACATGCTCCCAACATGCCCCATTGCAATCTATAATGAATGCAACAGCGAGGCTCATCTTCCTGTCTGCCCACACCTCCCACGCTTCACCCCTCTGTCAGTCCCTGCATTGGCTTCCCATAAGAAATTCTGTTTCTTGCTTTCAAATCTCAATGTAATGCCACTCCCACCAATCTATCCTCCCTAATACGCAAGGCCCCTACGCTCTGCCGAAGACCTACGTCTATCCTCTGTTCATATTCCCACTTCTGATGTTCGCCTTCTCTAGGGCTTCACCATTCCTTTGGAACTCCCGTCCCTTTTCTATTAGATGCTCATCCAGTTTCCACTCCTTGAAAAAATCATTAAAAATTCACTTTTGCAAAAAAGCATATTAATGAAATTGTTAATGGATCCCAACTGATTCATCTCCTGCAACTGGCATTAAAAAAAACTAAAGAAAACCACACTAGGTCTTCAGTGAGTACTATCTACCAATCTACTTCCCAATACTTCCTTTACCTTTTGTTCACTTTACCCCACTCCCTCTAGCATGTAAGCAGGGCCCTCAACCCTCTGCCCTTTGTTCGTGTGCATCAAACTTGTCTGGTTAGAATTACATGTTTGTTAGTCCTCCCACTGTAAAGCACTACGGAATTTGTTGGCGCTATATAAATATAATAATAATAATAATAATAACTAGACGTGGTGATGACACAACCATAATAATAATAATTGTTGTCTTAGAGTAATTAGAATAATGCATATTTTTCATACCACTTGCCAAATTAGCATACCACTGACGGTATTGGACCAGTAACAGCTGAAATAAGATAAATTATAAACATACAGATCTGTTCCACTTGAAATGTCACGTATAGGTATTATAGTGGGTGATCGAACAGTTCAATCAGCACTGGAATTTGCTGTGTTAGATTATCAAAAATAAAGATTTAAGTTAATATTGTAGGTCTATAAAAAATAGATATAGATAATATGGGTAAATAAGGCAGATCTTAGACAGAAGTATTTATATAATAGTATACGGGCTTATAAAAAAGACAGCAACGTTGCTCCTTTCATTTTAAGCTAGATATTAACATCACCAATATGAGAAAGCAAAGTGTTTCTATATTAAACAATCTATTCCAGTAAGTGAACTACAAATAGCTGCATGTATTTTCTTCGTTTCCCTGGTGTTCTATTTACAAGACACTTAACCTGCTTAACCTCCATACATATACAGGCAACGGTAAACAAATGATTAGGACAATAGTGAAGGATGTTGAAAAAATAATTTAAAAATAGCAGTGTATATATTATTGCTATTGTAAGTTTCCGAAAAAAATAATTACATTTACTAAAGAAACGTCCAGTATTTAAGGTTACCCACGTGTCCACAGTGATAATGAAAGTGCATTTATTTCCTTACAACATCACAGAGAAAATGATGAAAGAGTAATGTGCCAAATGATCTGCTTGACATGTCCTTTATAAGTGAAAAATATGCCAAACAGATCATTTGTCTATGCCCTCTCTCATCAATATATTGAGATATCAGATTGAAAGAAAAAAACACTTTTTATCACTGTTGATAAGAACTATTTGAACTATGAAGTGACAAGATTACCCGGGGTGCAGGAGGTTTCATTTTAAATTGCATAAATTCCATGCTAGGCATCTATCCCGTAAAGAGTTTGAACTTTTAAATTCACATCAATGCACTCAAGTATTATCTATCCCAATTATTAAAAAAATAAAAATAAATATATAATGTATTCTTTATTTTTGCCTCACTCCAACATGTGGCAGATCAGAGATAAAACATATAATTTACACAACATATCTTGGAGACCTGACATCCCATACATTACAACATACTGATATGTCTGTAACGCATATAGGGGGATGGGGGTGAAGGTTTTATTCTTATTAAGTAAAGAAGTTTGGGTTGAGGAGTGTATTGGCCATGTGGCTCAGCCGTAGGGAGTAAGGGCCTTCTCCTACCAGGGGAGGCCTAGAATAAGGTGGCCGTTTAAGTGCTTGTGTGGCTGATGTGCCCAAAAATATGGGGGAGTTTCATGGTTAGAACGCAATTCTCGGTTCGTTACTTAAGACAAGCGGTAGTGCTGGGAAGGTGGGTATTGCTTGGAGCCGGTAGCTGGCTCAGCATTACCGTGTGGGGAGAGTAGGCATGGGTAGGGCTCATGGGGGGGAGGGAGGATGTAGTTGGTCTGTTTGTCCTGTAAGGACTAGTGCTAGAGCATCTACAAATTATAGTAGCAATGTAACTTTTTTTTAAACAAGCATAAAGAAAACTTTAAATAATAACTGCACTAAAATTGATTGGCACACTTCTCCGCAAGAGGGTAAAGTTAAGCCCAGTCCACTTGTGATATCTCAGCCTGTATCTGCCTCATTGCGAGGTACGAAGGGGACTATATTGGGTATGTTCCAGGAATGTCCAGGGATGGAGGTGTCGTTCTTGGGTCTGTCTAGCCACAGGCTGCAGAGGAAAGGGTCAGAATCAGCAGCTGATGTGAGACGGCAGGTAGTCTGACCCTGGGTGGCCACGAGTGTGTGGGAGAGGCCCCACCTGTGTTGGACAACTGCCTCTCGGAGGGTCTTGGTGACCTGGCTGACTGAGCGTCTCCACTCCAACGTAGCCCTGCAGAGATCCTGTAGAAAGGTGAGTTGGGAGTCCTCAAATGGGAATGGGCACTTGTTCTTGATGGCCTCCATCACTTCATGTTTGTCTCGGAGGGACTGGTATTGAAGGAGGACATCGCAGGGATCAACCGCCAGTACCCTGGGAGACTTGGGGAGCCTGTGTGTTCCATCCAGTTGCAGGATCTTCACCTGCTTGGGATGCAGGCTCCCCAACATAAGGTGCAGGATAAAGTGGGGTAGCTCTGTGTCATTGACAGATTTAGCTATGCCTCTGACTTTTATGTTGGTGCGTCTCCTGGCATCTTCCACCGCATCCACTCTGGCCTGTAAGGCCTGATGTAAGTCTTGGAGTTGCTCTATTCACTCCATTGTGCCTGACTGGCATTGTGCTATGGAGGACATGTCCTTCTCTGTGGCCTTTACCCTGTCCGTTACGGCGGTAGCCTCCTCACGGAGCATCGCTATATGCAGAACCATGTGCGCTGGTGTTTCAATAGGCCCAGGATGTCTCCTTTTGTTGCAGGAGCCCCCAGGTCTCCTAACTGTATGGCCGAGAATGGGTCATCTGCCTCAGGGATGGCATCTGGGGAGTCCAGTGGGTCCTCTTCAGAGGAAAGGTCTAGGGAGTCAGGCATCACCACCATTTTAGCATTAGGCCACGTCAGAAATATGTCTCCTATTATTCGTGTGCCATCATCCGATTTGGCTTTTAGCTTTTTTGCTCATTTCCCCATAGTGTGGTGTGGGCAGGTGCTGAGTAATTGACGGGGCACTGCTGATTTTTGGGTGATTGTCTGTTTCTTGCCGATTTCAGTCCGGAGCTCAGCAGACATGCGACTGCTGTCCATGATGGTCAGGCCACGCCCCCTCTATCCCAATTATTTGAAGCCCTTCTACTTTTTGACAATATACATATACCAAGCAACAAGCTGTTAATAATACTCTTTTTAAAAGTATACATCACATGGATGTTATACTGTATGAAATTATCAATAATTTCTTATTGAAATACTCTGCTTTAACAAAATACAACTTTCACTTTTAGTTTAATTTTTGCAACACAAATTTCACTTTTAAAAATGACAGTTTGACAGGGGTCTCAGAACTTACAATATATCCTTTCCCAATATTTTGTATTGAAAGTTTTTATAATATAAACACAAACAATAAAATATATTAACAGTAGTAATATAGCTATACAATAATTGTTATAACAATGAAAAACAAAAAAAAAAAAACAAGGGAAAAGGGGGTAAACAAAGTCTCCATCCACAGAAAGTTAAACTTATATGCGGGCATAGGACAGTTCAGGTAATCGCATGATACATCAAGATATATAAAATATATTGCATCAATAAGTTAACAGTATCAAAACATCTAAATACAAAAATGTCTCTTAATAAAAAAAGTGACGTCTCTATATATAAAATGTATCTTAATAAAAGAAAGCAATGTCTCTCTACCTTCTATGAAATTAATGCTTTTTGCACATAAATAGTTTCTGTATGATAAACCAGCAATATGAGGACTTTATTAGAGTATTAGAGAAAATATAGATATACTACCAACAAACAGAAGAAAACATTGTATGTGCCTTTTTTGTGTCCTAAAACATAAAATTGTATATTGAATACAGAGGTGTAATGAAACATTTTCATAAAAAAAAATGTTTTTTATAAAAAAAACTTGTGCTTTTACCATTTTTGTTTTGTGTGGCATATTTGATTTGGTGTCAACTAGACGGAGCAATGGCACAACTATAATAATACATTTTGTCTTCTATAGATAGTAAATACATTGTTAGACACAAATCTGCACACCAGTCAAGCCACATGCTTTTCCCACAGAAATCTCACATTCGTTGTTAATGCAACTCATCAGTGTTACTTGTGGAGCACAAACCAATAGAGTTATAGTAGGAAAAAAAGTGACTGAAAATTCCTTCTACCTAAAAAGTAATGTAACTCATGTTTGCATTATAAGATGTCTTTTGCTGCCAAAGAAATGTAACTCGACTTGGTCTGATGGCACTATATTATTAGAAAATGTAACTAGGAAAAGACAAATGTGTCAAAAATGTTAAAAGGGGTGTTAAAATATAGAATGAAGGTGTGGAAATGACCACATGGGCTAAACTGTGCTCCAAGCTAACTCCAGTTCTAACATTTTATGACTAAAATAGTGTTGTTTTTAAATGACAAACATAAATCAATGGTAAAATAGTATTTATAAATAAAATTTGAAAAATGAAAAAGAAATATGTATATTTATTTTAGACATCTATATGGTCCCCCAACAGCATAATTTCAGCACAGACCATCTTTGAAATATATATTGACAAAGCTTCAAAAGGATATAATTTAATCTTCATTTATTTCTTTCTGGTAGTAAGTTGAAAACTGACTCCTCATATACTTTAAAAATCTACAATTGCTTCCCAGCTGGGACTTCTAGATCTAATTTATTAATAACAGATAGTGTTTAGTTCTCTCTGGTGTAAAAATGTCATACACAAAGAAATAAACATCATAAGGGTCAATTCAAAACTAGCCTCAACATGAAATGAATGTTTATTTCAATGCTTTAAGGCTAGGCCATCTATCGAAGATATAGCAGCTCCGTCTCCAGTAAAATGATTAATATGTTTTATATATTGGTGCAGGTCATGACTCACAGAATGAAGAACTGAGATGCAATATTCTAGTAAACATAAACAGAATTTTTTGATTTTGAAATTACATTTTTTTTTAGAGGCCACATATATTATATTATATTATTTTTTATACAATATTATACATCAACTGAAAAATTGTACTTCAACCAGACTCAGTTAAGTGCCCACTCCCAGACCCTCTTACAGTCTAAGAAATAAACCTTCATATACATGATATGATGCACTAAAATATTCAGGTAGCCTTACCTGGATGAGATATAACAAACAGATTATCACAAGTTTAGGGGTGCATTTACTAAGTGTTTCCCAGAAACCAGCCTTAAGCATCAAAATTCCTATTACCACATATAGACAAGTCCAAACTTAAATTAATAAAATGTGCCTAGAAACAAATATGGTACAACTGGGGGCAACATTTTAAAGAACTGCTGCACTATCGAACTCTAGTCATTTGGGTGCAGTGTCCCTGTCCTCTTAAACCTGCAATGTTAACCCCTCAAGGATGGAGGCAGTTGTACAAGTTCTGACCAAAACAAAATTTTGGAATTTGAGCTATATGTCTTTTCAACCATAATTAACCTCTTCAATATTAATTGTGCCCACAATTCTTATGTATCATTTTGTTCAGGAGATATATACTTTAATTTCACATCAAATATTCATACATGAAACATACTTTGATATAAGTAAAATCTGAAAAATTGTGAAAAATTTAGAATTTCTGTTCTGCTTGGCATTTTAACTGTAAATACCATTATTTACAGTTAGCTTTAGCTTTTACTGCAATAAAACATACATATTTGTATGCTGTGATGTCCCACATGTACAATGATGCATGCACATTTTGTTTTTACACAAATGAAATTTGCCAGGTTTGTTTGCTCAGCCTATGTTGCCTTTGAGACCATATAAATCAAATAAAAATTACACTCATCAAGGCATTCCTGTAACAAGGTTAATTTATAAAAGTGCCAATAAATCTATTAAAATCTGAACCTTTTATAAAATGAAAAAGGACACATAAAACACTTCAGCAAGCTAAACTGCTTTGGGGCCAGGAGCGGCCCTTTAAGATTAGTAAGTTAAACCAGCCTACACTCATTCATCATATATTGAGTTTGTGGAGAGCTTCTTGCAAATCACAATAGTAGCTGAAGATAACTGTTGGTTAGTCTTGTAGCAGTTACTTGTTTAGAATGTTTCTTTGTTGATGTGTTGATTATATTCAATACTGACACTCCTCACTTACTGGCGGGGTTCCGTTCCTACAACCCGGTCATAGAACAAATTGGTCGGTAAGTGAGGAGTTAAGGGATTACCTGCTCTGGTGCGTTCATCTATAGAAATTTCCCCGAACATAGATTTGAGGGATTCCCTGCGCTGGTGCGCTTGTTCAAAATATTTTAGAAAACCAGTATTTTGTCAATATCTGAAAATTATAAACCTTGGGTTTTTTTTACAGTTGTCAGAGGGAATTTCAAATTTTAGACCAAAGTAGCCACATTGCAATAACTCTCCAAGTTATCTATGTTTTTGTTTGTCTATTTTAACCAAACATTTTGAATAAAGTATAAATTAATTTGGAATTCACAACAATTCAAACTTTTATTAACCAAATAACAAGATGGGGATCTTCAACAATTCTACCTTCAAGTAAATGATAGCATGTCACAAAATCACACACTTTCATTGCTATATTACACATTGTAGATAGAGAAGCAACCAATCTTATCAGCCTACAAATGCATGGACAAAATCAGAAAGAATACATGCTGAGGCAATATACTCCAAATAGCTCCAAACTAATCTAATCAATCCCTCACTATGAATCCAATTAAATATAACAATAGTGGAGTTGGAAGTAATTTAAGGCTGTTAAAAAAGTTAAGTGAATCATTCTGCTACTATGCCCTGCAATACACTAAAGAAAATGGTTTCTTTAGAAATGTATTTGATTTCTTTGGTACATCCAAACACAGGATCAGGAACCAAAATGTAGCGTAGGAGACCATCTGATAGTTAAAATAGCCATATTTTAATCAACATCTAACAGGTTGGCACTTCAATTGTATATCCAGCAATGGTAATAGTAAACAGTTTTAAGGAGCTGATTATATTGTCAAAAGAGGAATGGACATTGATGGAAAGATTTAAGTCACTTTTATATCCACTCAGAGACTTTAGTTTCTGACTACACTAACTGAAAAAAAAACCTCCTTTATCTTCAGAAAAAGTCTACTAAACGTTCCATGTAAAAACAGGCAATATGACAAACTGTTTGAATGACAAGGCTG